ATCGCGCTGAGCTCCGATCACGACATAGCGGTCTGCAGGAGAAAGCGGCTTTAACCGACGCCAAAAATGGGCAATGAAGCGGGGAGGGCTGGCTGGGACGGCCAGAAAGTGGCAGGATGAGGGTCAATAGGGCAGTGGAAAGCTCTGAAAGGTGTACTGGGCCCAGGATACGGCCTGACTCCGGTCACTGACAGGTAGTCCTCGACTTACGACCACAACAGAGCCCAAGATTTCCGTCATTAAGCGAGACACTTTTTTTTGACCAGCAAAGTCAACGGGTAAACCAGATTCGCTGAACGACCGCAGGATTCGCTGACCTTTAAGCGGCTCGCTTAACAATTGTAGTGAGGGAGGTTGTAAAATGGGGCAAACGCCCTGAACAGCTGCCTTGCTTAGCGACGGAAATCTGGGGTCGTAAATGGAGGACTGCCTGTGATATTCCTGGAGAGGCTGAACAGCCAATTTGGGGGGATGCTTTGATTGGGGGGGGGGGTTTCCTGCCATGTGGCTTCAGTGATCCCCTCAAAGGACTGGATAGATAAGATCTTGTTAACTTCAGATGAGAAATTAATTAAGAAAATGTATAATTTTTTTGTTGATTCTGGAAACGGAAAGCGAACAAGTTAAAGAAACAATGATAAGATGGGCGAAAAACTTTGGCTACAACACAGAACTAGAAAAGTGGCAAAAGCTATGGGAGAGAAATTATAAATTGACAACGTCAACATCGTATAAAGAAAAATTTATATATAAAAAAAAGGTTTTATAGAAGGCACTTGCCACCACCAGCAAGATTAGCAAAAATGTTTTAAAATATGTGAGATAGACGCTGGAAATGTAAGCATAACTCGGGCACTTATTATCATGTTTGCTGGACAGGTGACAAAACTAAGGTTTGCTGGAAAAAGATACATGCTCGGTTAGAAAAAATGTTGGGAGAACATGTTGATTTTAAACCTGAACTTGTCTTATTAGGTACAATGCCAGAAAAGATTTAACAAACCAAGCCTACATTTGATTTTACGCGTCACAACAGCAGCAAGAATAATCTTTGCGCAATATTGGAAAAAAAGGAAGGACTAGCACTGGGGGAAGAATTGATCAGAAAAATATTGGAATGCGCAGAGATGGACAGATTAACTATGAGACTGAAAGATAAAGAAGGAACAGAATATTACCAGACTTGGGATTTATTTTATCAATGGCTAGAGCACAGGTCGGCAACCTGCGACTCCGGAGCTGCATGTGGCTCTTTGAGCCTTCTGCAGCTCCCAGCCTCTTCTGCCATTTGCAGAGACAGAGAGAGGCACTTGAGCTCCCCCCCCCTCTGTGTGTGTGTGTGTGTGTGTGTGTGTGTGTGTGTGTGTGTGTGTGTAAAAAAGAGAGTGGCTTCACCCTGTTCGAGGAGCTGACAAGCTTATTGGGCGGGGCTCCTCCCTTTGCTGCGTCTCCGCAGGAAGCAGGAAGGGCAGGAGAGAGCCAGCTTGTTGGAGAACAGCTTGAAGCCAGCTTGCCAGGTGAACAGAAGATTGGAGAGAGGGAGAGAAGGGGGGAGGAGAGAAAGAGGGGGGGAGAGAGAGGGAGAGGAGAGATGGAGAAAAAGAGGGGGGAGAGGAAAGAGGGAGAGGAAAGAGAAAGAGAGAGAGGAAAGAAGAGAGAGAAAAAGAGAGAGGTAAGAGAGAGAGGGAGGGGGGAAGCGCAAGTGCCTCTCTCTCTCTCTCACACACACACACACACTGAGTGGGGGAAGAGAACTGCAGACCAAGGGCAGAAAGAGAGGGGGGAGGGAGGGACTCTTTTGATATCTAAAATGAAGATAACACTGCATATATCCTTTTTTTAACCTTTATGATATATACCTATTATAAAGGTAAAAAAGGATATATGCAGTGTTATCTTCATTTTAGATATCAAAAGTGTTTTGCGGTGTTTTGTTTTCGGTGGGAAACGGGTCCAAGTGGCTCTTTGAGTGTTTTGGGTTGCCTACCCCTGCGCTAGAGGAAAGAATGAAGGATTAGGAACTGAATATGTATGAAGTGTTTTTAAACCCAGACAGCACATTGGTTGAAAAATTAACATAGGTATGTAACAGAAAATTAATCTTTACAAAAAAAACCCCCACAAAGGACCGGATATAGCATGCCCAGGACGCAGAGTTCAAATTCAACCTTCTTTCAAAACGTCGCGAGCCTTACCTGGTTCCACAAAACCTTTAACGACGCCAAAAATGTTCAGGATTTTTTTCTCGACCAGGAGGTTGCTGATTCTCAGGCGCACGTTCGTTCCCGACAGAGAGGTCGCACACTTGCGAAAGATTGTTCTTTGCCAGGGGGTTGGACAGTCTGACCCATCCAGGACGCTGAAAGCAGAACCGGAACTCGTTACTTGACAAATTTGGGTGTGCTTCCCAACATCCTGCAACACGTTCAGGCATCTTCAAAACCACCAAGCTCCTATTTCTTATTTCGAGGAACAGGATGCAGGTGTAGCCATTCGTTTAGTGTCCATTCAGGGGTTGGGAAAAGTGACGTAGGAGCGTTTTTCACGCTGACGACCGTTCGCAGCGTCCCCGGGGTCACGTGATCAAAATTCAGATGCTTAGCAACTGATTTGTATTTATGACGGTTGCAGTGTCCCCCGGGGACCTTTTGACAAGCAAAGTCAAGGGGGGGGGGGGGAAGCCGGATTCACTTAACAACCGGGTTACTAACTTTACACCTGCGGAGATTTGCTTAACAAACGGTGGCGAGAAAAGTCGTAAAAATGGGGCAAAATTCACTTAACGTCTCTCTCTACTCGGCAACAGAAATTTTGACCTGAATTGTGGTCCTAAGTCAGGGGTCTTCAAACTTGGCCCTTTTATGACTGGTGGACTTCAACTCCCAGAATTTCTCAGCCAGGCACGCTGGCTGAGGAATTCTGGGAGTTGAAGTGCATCAGTCATGAAGGGGCCATAGTTCCCCCACGCTGGCTGAGGAATTCTGGGAATTGAAGTCCACAAGTCACGAAGAGGCCATAGTTCCTCCACGCTGGCTGAGGAATTCTGGGAATTGAAGTCCACAAGTCATGAAGGGGCCATAGTTCCCCCATGCTGGCTGAGGAATTCTGGGAGTTGAAGTCCACAAGTCAGGAAGGGGCCATAGTTCCCCCACGCTGGCTGAGGAATTCTGGGAATTGAAGTCCACAAGTCACGAAGAGGCCATAGTTCCTCCACGCTGGCTGAGGAATTCTGGGAATTGAAGTCCACAAGTCATGAAGGGGCCATAGTTCCCCCATGCTGGCTGAGGAATTCTGGGAGTTGAAGTCCACAAGTCATGAAGGGGCCATAGTTCCCCCACGCTGGCTGAGGAATTCTGGGAGTTGAAGTCCACAAGCCACGAAGGGGCCCTAGTCCTAAGTTTTTTAACTGCTGTGTGATGAGAAGCCCATTTTTTTTATTTTTTTTTGGCCTTCTGGAAAACGGTAATGATTTTGTTGCCAACAGATGGAATTTCTTCCTGACCTGAATTTTTTGGTTCTCGCGCGGAGAGGAAGAAGCAACGGTTGAAACGGAGCTTGGTGCCAGCGACACCCAAATCTACTTACAAGAGGTTTGCCAACTGGTGGCCAGTTACCTGATTAATTGTTGTGCGCCTGAGCGTGAAATACTCGCGACGGGGATGCCGGGCAGGGCCGAAGACTGAATGGGGGGGAACTGAGTGTGGTTGAAGGAAGGAAATCCAGGGGTGTAAGGGTCTCCAGTACCGAGATGAGCCTGAAAGACAAGAAATCCCGGGAATTACCAAAAAAGGAGAAGAGATAAATTGGGAGTTTCCTTCCACGTCCTTCATGGAGCTTACACCACCGTCTCTAAAGTCTCAATTTGCTCAGTTCTGGCCTAGAGGATTTGTTTACTGACCGTTCAAAATTACAGAGGCACTGGAAAAAGGGACTTATGAGTTTTTCACACTTACGAGCGTTGCGACACCCCCACGGTTACATGATCAAAATTCAGACACTTGGCAGCTGACTCATACAGTAGTGGCCAAAATTGTGGAAACCTTTTGGGAAAAGTGTACAGGAGAAACGCCATCTTTGGTTAAGTTTCCACCCATTTTTTCTTCCAATTTCTTTATAACTGCAGCCTTCTTCACTTAATAATGCTATTTTACATCGCTTTCTGGGCGACCAGTCAACTCTTTGCACCATGACTTTAATTTTATTACGTTTTACAAGCTCACTAAATGAAAGAACACAAAAAAAAAACCAACCAGCTTGATAGAGGATCACATAACACACTGACCAATGTCCTCCTCTCAGCTTCAATACATGACATCGATAACTGGATCCTACTGTGATCTGATTGGCTCATTGCCAAAAGAAGATGACACCTGATTGGGTGTCTAAACCCTCAGGCTGATTGGCTACAATCAGATGAAGGAAAGCTCCCTGAGATCAACCTAAGCAAGTTGTGCTTCCTTTTTCTGGTTATTTGGCTATAACTTTTCGTAGAATACAGTACAGGTAATTGAACAGACTTGGTTGCATTACATTCTTGATTAAATTATCTTTCCATTGATATGTAATTTTATGGTACTGCTCCAAAATAAAGTGGTGTTATTAGCCATCAAACCTCAAAAATACACTTTTCCCAAAAGGTTTCCACAATTTTGGCCACTACTGTATTTAGCAGGGTCCTGGGGTCACTTGATCATCTTTTGAAACCTTCTGACAAGTCAATGGGGAAAAGTAGATTTTGCTGAACAACCTTGCATGACTAACTTAACTGCAGTGATTTATTTAACAACTGTGGCAAGGAAGGTCATCCAATGGGGCAAAACTCACGTTAACAACTGTCTCGCTTAGCAGCAGAAACCTGGGGTCAGTCGTGGTCCTAAGTCAAGGACTGTCTGCACAGCTACTTTATTTCCCTCCTTCTTGGGCCAAAAAAGACTTTTGTTATATTAAGACCATCACAGCCCTGAGACTTCCACTCTGAAGGATTTGATTCCCAAACAGGAGGGTGGAAAAAAAAGGGGGGAAAAGCAGGCAGAGATGCTAATTCTAAGACAACCTTGGGGTGGGGTGGAGTTATTGCTTTGACTCTTTGTATATTGGGGTTGTTGTTTTTTAAATTGTTTGTGGTGCTTGGACACTGAAAGTGACCAACAAGCAAGTCTCTGGAGTGTAAAACACCAGACGTGTCGCCGGGAGGCAAAACTCACTTATTTTGGCTGTGTCATGGGGGGGGGGGGGGGGGAATAATTGCTTTCGGCTGGAGAAAGCAATTATGTTTGGAAGAGTGAGGGGTAAAAGGAATCCAGGCCACCAAAGAACAACAGTGGCTGGATACTATCCAAGCTGACACCAGCCGGAGCATCGAACAACTCAAAGAAGCAGTGCAAGAGTGAAAGGGGTGGAGAGAGCAGCCGGCCCAGAGAATCCCAAGAGCTCAATACGACTGAAGGGATAGCATCACCATCCTCAAGATCTGACAGTGTGGGTGTGCTCCAGGTCACAGAGGAAGGGAGGGAGGGAGGAAGGAAGGAAGGAAGGAAGGAAGGAAGGAAGGAAGGGAAGAAGGGGGGAGGAAGGGGCAAGGAAGAAAGGTAAAGGGAAGAAAGGAAGGAACGAAGGAAGGGGAAGGAACGAAGGGAGGAGGGAGGAAGGGGCAAGGAAGAAAGGTAAAGGGAATGAAGGAAGGAACAAAGGAAGGGGAAGGAAGGAAGGAAGGAAGGAAGGAAGGAAGGAAGGGGGAGGAAGGGGCAAGGAAGAAAGGTAAAGAGAAGGAAGGGAGGGAAGGGAGGGAGGGAGGAAGGGGGAAGGAAAGGGCAAGAAAGGAAGGTAAAGAGAAGGAAGGAAGGGGAAGGAAGGTAAAGAGAAGGAAGGAGGGAAGGAAGGAAGGGAGGGAGGGAGGAAGGGGGAAGGAAAGGGCAAGGAAGAAAGGTAAAGGGAAGGAAGGAAGGAAGGAAGGAAGGAAGGAAGGAAGGAAGGAAGGAAGGAAGGAAGGAAGGAAGGAAGGAAGGTTGAATGCATAACATGATCAGTTTTTATAAGCCACCTAGAATCATTGAAAGGGAGTGGGCGGCCATGCTGGCTGGGGAATTCTGGGAGATGAAGTCCCCCCCCCCTTCTTCAAGTTGCCAAGATTGAGAAACACTGCTCTAAACCAACTAACTAACAAACAAACCAGCAGGGACAAGAAACAGCTGGAACAGCCCAATGCACAAGTACCTGCTGGCCAGATGGCAGGTACAGGTGAGCTACCAAGAAACTGAGCATGGCTGGCTGGGGAATTCTGGGACTTCAAAGTCCACAGCTCTTAAAAGATGGCCAAGGTTGGACACCCCTGCTTCAAAAGATGCTTTAGAAAAGTTGACTGGCAAGAGAAGGGTTCAAAACTCACGTGTCCAAACAGGGCCACCGTTTCGCCAAGGTTCTTGTAGTCCAAAGGATCTGGGTAGATTAACACGCCTACAGCGCCCCGTGCCTCGGCGTTGGCAACCTAGGAGGAGATAGGAGGCGTTTTTACTAGTAGGTGGAAAAGCAGCCAAGTGGTGGCACACAGTAATGAAACATAGGCAAGGAAACAAATCAAGCTTTAGAGAGCCCACAGGACCCCTCCGTCCTGTATTAACGTAGTACGACAGGAGCCAGTGTTATATTCTGCGATTTATTTTGCTAGCTCTGACTTTAGGGCCTTTATTTACTTCGGTGTCTTTTCCCCATTTTTTAAAAAAAATTAAATTAAAATACGACGTATTGTTGACCAAGACAAAAAGGCAGAGTAAGCCTCACAAAACGTGTCTTCTAGAATTTTCCTCCTTCACAACATCGTTTTTTAGGTGACCTGATTGGGCAACGGAGAATGCCAACTATTGGGACGGTCACCCAATTTGCCCGTCAGCTGGTTTTTTCTTAACGTTTACACTCTGTTCGTGTTTTGGGAAGGGGGATGTGAATGAGAGTCTGGCTAGACCAGGGGTAGGCAACCCAAAAACACTCAAAAGAGCCACTTGGACCCCTTTTCCCACCGAAAACAAAACACTGGGAGCCGCGAAACCCTTTTGATATCTAAAATGAAGCTAACACTGCACATATCCTTTTTTACCTTTATTATAGGTGTGTGTGTGTATACATACATACATACATATCATAAAGATAAAAAAGGATATATGCAGTGTTATCTTCATTTTAGATGTCAAAAAGGTCTCTCTCTCTGTCTCTCCCTTCCTCTCTCTCTTTCTGCCCTTGGTCTGGCAGTCCTCTTCCCCCATTCTTTCTCTCTCTCTCTCTCACTCTTTCTCTCCCCCCCCCTCTCTCTCCGCTCTTCTGCTCACCTGGCAAGCTGGCTTCAAGCTGTTCTCCAACAAGCTCAGGGATAGGCAACCTGGGCTCTTTTATGACTCATGGACTTCAACTCCCAGAATTCCTGAATCAGCATAGCTGGGCTAGCTAGCTCTCTCCTGCCCTTCCTGCTTCCTGCAGAGACGCAGCAAAGGGAGGAGCCCCGCCCAATAATCTTTTCAGCTTGTCGGAGAACACTGAGAGTCCACTCTCTTTTACACTTACTTACACACACACACACACACACAAACACACCGAGACAGAGAGAGAAGCAGGGAAGCGCAAGTGCCTCTCTCTGTCAATGGCAGAGGAGGCTGGGAGCCACAGGGGAAAGCTCAAAGAGCCGCATGTGGCTCCGGAGCCGCAAGTTGCCGACCTGTGGGCTAGACATAACAACACTAAACCTAGCGTGAGAATCAAGGTTATTGTAACCAGAGCTGATAAGGAATTGGCCGGGCTGGAGAACTGGAGAGGAAGCCCAAGCGCTTCAAGCTAATTGGGGAATGTGATTTATGACTGTTAATTGGAGGAGGGAATTGTGCTGCTTTGATACTATGTGCTCAGGGGAGGGGAATTCAGTCTTTGGCTTTGATTATGCTAGTGCCGAAGCTATGCTACTCGAATAAATGATTCTTTAAGGTAAACAATGCCTCGAAGTTCTTCTGAAGAGTTTCATTGGTCGGAACCAGGACATTTAAAACATTTCATCCATGCTTTAATCCGCTTTGTGTTTTAAGAACACGGTTTTTAGGTCTTATCTGTATACCGCCCAGAATCACTCTGTGAAGGAGGTCGATTGTTTCTAAACCTGGTAAACCATTTTTTACCTTCTCGGCAAAAGTGATGCTGCCGGCTCTCACAACGACCACCATGCCATTCACGACGATACCTTTGTCTAGGAGGGCTTTGAAATCTTCCTTAAGGCCATAATTGGCAAAAACCGGCTTGCCCTAGAGCGGAGAAGAAGCTTGGTTAGCCAACAGAGCACTGTCAAGCAGTCTAAGACAGGGGTCTCCCCCCCCCCCAAACTATGGTCCACAGTCTGGGCTGTGGGCTCTTGGCCAGCGGGCTGTGGCCAATGGCTGGCCAGTGTGCACACGTGTGAAACTTTTTCTCATCTTCTTTGACGGTACCAAGCTGGGAAGAACGCTGAGCATTGTACGAGAGACTTACCGAAACCTCCCCGTTTTTGCTGTAGGCTACAAAAGCACTGGAGGCGTCCAGGATTGTGTTTCTAGCATCGTCCAAAGAAACGACATTTGAAGAACTAAAACAAAAACAAAAAAACAGCAACGTGGCTTCAAAATATTGCATTTTAAAATATTTATTTCAATTTTGACGAGGCTGCCTATCTAAAATACGTTAACTCTGGGTGGCTTCCTGCGATTAAAAAGCTATGGAAACCAAGCAGAAAAAATATTAGAAATTAGAAATGCCCTCACTGTAGCAACCTGGTCATAAAGAGCAATGCCGGATGAGCGGATTGCTTGCTGACACCAATCCCAACTGCCGTCATTAAGCAAGGACCACGTGGGTCATTAAGTGAGGACCATGTGTGCCAACTTCCGCAATGACTGTGGCTATGGGAAGCCGGCAAGGATGTCAGCAATTGTGGCTTGGCTGTGACACTGTCAATTATAAGCTGGGCACCTGGACCAGTAATTCTCCAGACACCATGCAATTTCCTCCACTGGTGCAGCCCCTAAACAGGAATACAGAGGAAGCAGGTGCCTCTTTATTGATTATCCTGCCTTTATTATTTCTGACAAATCACTCAAGGAAGCGAACATATCCAACCTAACTTCCCCCTATTTCCCCCATAACCACCACCCTGTGAGGTGGGTTGGGCTGAGACACAAACTGGCCCAAAGTCATTGGGCTGGCTTTCATGCCTAAGGTGGGACTAGAACTCCCCATCTCCTGGTGATTGGCCCAAAATCACCTAGCCAGCTTTCATGCCTAAGGCAGGACTAGAACTCACTGTCTCCTGGTGATTGGCCCAAAGTCGCCCAGCCGGCTTTCATGCCTAAGGCAGGACTAGAACTCACCGTCTCCTGGTGATTGGCCCAAAGTCGCCCAGCCGGCTTTCATGCCTAAGGCGGGACTAGAACTCACCGTCTCCTGGTCATTGGCCCAAAGTCACCCAGCCGGCTCTCATGTCTAAGGCGGGATTAGAGCTCACCGTCTCCTAGTGATTGGCCCAAAGTCACCCAGCCGGCTTTCATGCCTAAGGCGGGACTAGAACTCCTCGTCTCCTGGTGATTGGCCCAAAGTCACCCAACCGGCTGTCATGTCTAAGCTGGGAGTTGAACTCACAATTTCTTGCTTTCTAGCCTGGTCTCTTAACCTCCATCTCTTTCCTAAAGGGATTTATTTTTCAGGAGACTTGCTCGTTAGATCGGGAATCCAAATTGCAACCCTTTGCTAAGTGCTAAGTTGAAAGGAAGACCTCCCCCCCCACCGCGGAAAATCTTGAACCAAACCTCCCTACCTGGCTTGGAGACGGACATAATGCTCATCATCCCAGACTTTGTCCAACTTGTATGACTCAAACTGTTCGTGGATGTCGTTGGCCAGAACCTCATCCCGTATACTGCCGGCTTCGTGATTGCCGGAGGAGATTGACCTACAAGATATGCAAATGAACCGAAAGTCAGGAGCTCTGTCGGACCCTCATCTTCACACAAAGTGTTAATACCCCTTTAGAATGCCTTGGTAATATTCCACACTTGGAATATTGCATCCAGTTTTGGTCACCACCAGTCATCTCTACCATGAGCCTAGCTGCAGCCATCTTTCCCTCTGGAATTGAGTATGGCCAGTTTAACAAAGAGAAGGACGAGGGGGGGCAGGATAGCAGCGTTCCAGTATCTCAGGGGCTGCCCCAAAGAAGAGGCAGTCAAGCTATTCTCCAAAGCAGGACAAGAAGCAATGGGTGGAAACTAACCAAAGAGAGAATTCAACCTGGAACTAAGGAGAAACTTCCTGACAGTTAGAACAATTAACCAGTGGAACAACCTGCCTCCAGAAGCGGTGAATGCTCCAACACTGGAAGTTTTTAAGAAGAGACTGGACGGCCATTTGTCCGAAATGGTATAGGGTTTCCTGCCTGAGCAGGGAGTTGGACTAGATGACTTCCAAGGTCCCTTCCAACTATTACTATTATTATTATTATCATCATCATTATTCCAGGTTGCCACGTGCAAAGGAGGGAGAGGGGCATCAGACCCTCTCTCTGCTCGTCTAAACAATATTCTGTCCTGTGGGAACCAAGGTCATATCTCTTATTCCCGGGACTAGAGGCGGGGCGGTGTATTAGAAAGCCTGCCCAACATTTGTATTCGGGAACGTAGTAAAATGCATATTCCTGAGGGTGGGACTTCATACATTGTAACTGGGTAATTTTTCGTAGGCAATTCAGACTTGGTTTTGCTTTTGACCGTGCCCCTACTTTGTAACCAATAAACATGTTCTTTGAGGAATTCACAAGCCTCGGAGTTCTGCTCTATTCGTCTCTGTTTATCAGAATCATGACAACCACAATATAAAAAGAGGTCGAGACCCTAGAAAGAGTGCAGAGAAGAGCAAGAAAGGGGATTAGGAGGCTAAAATCTATGAGCAGGAGTTGGGTATGTCTAGTTTAACGAAGAGAAGGACGAGGGGGGACATGAGAGCAGTGTTCCAATGTCTCAGGGGTTGCCCCAAAGAAGAGGGAGTCAAGCTATTCTCCAAAGCGCCTGAAGGTAGGACAAGAAGCAACGGATGGAAACTGATCAAGGAGAGAAGCAACCTAGAACTAAGGAGAAACTTCCTGACAGTGAGGACAATTAATCACTGAACTTCAGAAGTTGTGGGTGCTCCATCACCGGATGCTTTTAAGAAGAGACGGGACAGCCATTTGTCTGAAATGCTATAGGGTTTCCTGCTTGAGCAAGGGGGTTGGCTACAAGACCTTCAAGATCCCTTCCTGCCTCCCACGTAGCCAGACCCACAGCTGTCCACACACTGAAAACTTCTTCTTCATCATCAGAACTTTTCCATGGGCTTTCTGGAAATCCTTACCGGATCTTGTCTTGGAATCTTGCCTTGGCGAGCCGACCGGTCAACAATGTCTTCAAGTCACCCCAGTACAGCACTGGATCGGATGGGGCGTTGTTGCTGGTTTCAGAGTATTCAGACGAATAGAAGACCCCGTCGCTCGAGGACTTGGCCCCGTTGCTGCACGTCGCCACTTGTGGCATCCGGGCACGGAAACTTATGTAGCCAAACAAAAACCCTGCCGGAGGAGAGCAGTTGGAAGATGTCAGGATTTCCTGCCTGAAGACGCAACGCTGACAATAACAGCGCAATTCACACACACACAGATCTGTGTTGTTCAGAAGACCCAAAGGTGCTTTTCCCAAAAGGCAACCGTTCGGCTTCTTATCCAAGAAACTTTCTCCGAAGTTAGAAGCGAGGAAGCTTTTTGGACGAGAAGCGGACGATTTTCAAGGAGAGGAAAGAAAACAAAAAACAAGGAATTCCAATTGCCTTTTGGAAAAAACACCTTTGTGACAACAATGACCTGGAGAACTGAGAAACTCCGTAGACACTGTTGAAAAGTTTTTTTAAATACAAAATACAAATGAAAATAAAGATAATGGCCAATAGGGGAAAAGGGATAATGTAAGGGGGAAAAAAGAAATAAAAAGCAGCGATTTCCAACTTCTTTCAGTGCGGTTCAGTTACTTAATAGAATTATGCTCGCCACGTTTTTCCTTAGTATGAAAATGGTAAATATGAGCCATTTCTGTGACAACAACCCACCTAATAACAGCACGATTCTATTGAGGACTCCACGGTTATTATTTTAAAACGTTTACTCGATAGCCCTCACTTAGCAAGGCTCATGTCATGGTTCCGACGGATGAAACTCTTCAAAGAACTTTTTTACCTTAAAGAATTTTTCTTGGGGTGGCATAGCACCTACATCAGTGTTTCTCAACCTTGACCATTTTAAGGCATGTGGACTTCAACTCCCAGAATTCCACAGCTGGGAGTTGAAGTCCACATGCCTTAAAATGGTCAAGGTTGAGAAACACTGACCTACATAGTCAAAGCCAAAAACTGGATTCCCCTCCCCTGAGCACATAGTATCAAAGCACAATTCCCCTCCTCCAATTTACAGACATAAATCACATTCTCCAATTAGTTTGAAATGCAGGCCTTCCCTCCTTTACTCCAACCCGGCCATTTCTTATCATCTCTTATTTCAAAAGCCCTGAATTCACACACTATGACAATATTGTTATGTCTAACTAACTCCCATCCCATTCCTCCTCCTCTCCCAGTATCATCTAACTCTAAGAGTAAAGCATGAGAGAGAAAAAGGCTGCATCTCCATAGGTTGTCAAAGCAAGACCATCCAGTGTTAGCAGCTCACCGGGACCAGAATTTCCACCACTAAGTGCAATGTCACATGAGTGTGCCATTTAGCCATGGAAATTGGGGCACTTCCAACAGCCCTGCTTACGCAACATCCTTAAGTGTGACACTGATGGATTGCCATTTGCAGCCTCCTGCTGGCTTTGCTACCAGGACACAACAAATAAGCTCATAAATTACCATTGTGTGCTCCCAGGACTTTATAACCCTGGTAAGGGCAAGCCAGTTGCTGATCACGTGACTACCACTCTTATAAGTAGGAGGACTGGGGGGGTTATCACCCCGCTGAGCGCTATTGTAAGTTGGAACGGTCCCCGAGCAAGTGGTTGTTAAGTGAGGACCATCTGTATATGAAAAGGGAAGGCGTTTTATGGACAAAGGTCCATTTGCTCTTAGGGGGGGGGGTATATTGGTAGCTGTGGGGCCCTTGGTGCTTTCTCTGGGCTTGGCTTTCTTGCAGACCTTTCATTGCCCAACTAGAGAGCATCATCAGTGCTAGAAGGGAGGAGGAGGAGGAGGAGGAGGAAAGGAAGGAGGACTATGGGCTCCTTGGTGCTCTCTGAGCTTGGTGGTCTCCATTACAGCTCCTCGGCCCCCAGCCCTGCTCCCTGTTCCCCCTTACCTATCAGGAAGAGCAGGGCCGCCCCTCCACAGGCGCAGCACAGGTGCCGGTGGCTTCGGGCCTTGCCGATCCTGGGGGGAAGGTGGTCGATCACGCCGTTTTCGCCGCCTTCCTCTTCCTCGGCGGAGAGCTTCATCTCCACGTGGCTGCTGTCCCCGTCTGGCTGCCGGGCCAGGCTGAAGCGGGTGTAGGAGAGGGGCTCTGCCCCAAACTAGACAACAGGAGATGCCATGGCAGGAGAATGAGAAAAAGCAGGAAGGCCATGCGGTCGACTCAAGGACAGGCAGTCCTCGACTTACGGCCAACAGCGGGATCCAGAATTGGCCTTGCTAAGCAAGACGGTCGCTCAAATTTCACCACCACCACCCCGTTGTTCAGATCGAGAAAGACCCTTCTGAAGATGCGCCCCGTTGCCAGAGGTTTGACACACTGGTGCGTACACACATTCCCTAGGCAGAGAGATGCACCTGGCTCGCTCTTTCAGCATTTTAGGATGCTGGTAAATAATCCTCTCTTCCCTCCAGATTTAAATCTTAAATTGCATACATAAATTGTGTAATTTGTATGTTGTTGGGTTTTTTTTAATCCAGATGTTCTGGTCTTGTTCAGTTTCTTGCAGATTAGCCCAAAGTCACCCAGCTGGCTTTCGCGGGATTAGAACTCACTGTCTCCTGGTGATTGGCCCACAGTCACTTAGCCAGCTTTCATGGCTAAGGTGGGACTAGAACTCCCCGTCTCCTGGTGATTGGCCCAGTCACCCAGCCAGCTTTCATGGCTAAGGTGGGACTACAACTCTCGGTCTCCTGGTGATTGGCCCATAGTCACCCAGCCAGCTTTCATGGCTAAGGTGGGACTAGAACTCTCGGTCTCCTGGTGATTAGCCCAGTCACCCAGCCAGCTTTCATGGCTAAGGTGGGACTAGAACTCCCCATCTCCTAGTGATTGGCCCACAGTCACCCAGCCAGCTTTCATGGCTAAGGTGGAACTAGAACTCTCCACCTCCTGGCTATTAGCCCAGTCACCCAGCCAGCTTTCATGGCTAAGGTGGGACTAGAACTCTCGGTCTCCTGGTGATTGGCCCATAGTCACCCAGCCAGCTTTCATGGCTAAGGTGGGACTAGAACTCTCGGTCTCCTGGTGATTAGCCCAGTCACCCAGCCAGCTTTCATGGCTAAGGTGGGACTAGAACTCCCCATCTCCTGGTGATTGGCCCAAAGTCACCCAGCCGGCTTTCATGGCTAAGAGAGGACCAGAACTCAATGTTTCCTAGTTTTTAGCCTGGTATTTTCACCACTAGAACAAACCACTCTCTCTCCTTATTTTATCTTTCTGTCTTGCTGGAGGCACAGGAGCGGAAATTCTTTCTTCACACATTTCAACAGCCCTGAAATCAAGCTGGCATTAAAGTCAGAGGTTGCCTCATTCTTCCGCTGGCTGCCTGGAGGGCTTCTCAAGGGCTAGCTAACTACACTGTGGTCTGACATGCTCTCAGCTAGCTTCCTGTGGGAGATTAAAAACCGGCAGACCGAGTTTGCTGGTTAGCCAATACAGATCCAGCAATTTGAAGCAGGCCTTTCTTAACAGCGTGCCAAACGGTAAAACAAACTGGGGCCGCCTGCAAAGGAAGGAACCTCTTGATTTGCACATGGTCCTTGAGTTACAACAGCCAAGTGGGCGTGGGATTTCCTCCGTAGGCCAAATGTGTAATAGCATGTCGTTGCTGTTGTTAAGCGAGCATCGCGGATCGTTCAGCAGGCACCTCCTTGTTAACTTCCAGCCAGCTTCCAACAACCAAAGTCAGTGGGGAAGCCAGTGAAAAGGCCTTGCAGGTGGTGGTAATAATAATAATAATAATAATAATAATAATAATAATAATAATAATAATAATAATAATAATAATAATAATAATAATAATAATAATAATAATAATAATAGTAATAAAGTTGGAAGGGACCTTGTAGGTCATCTAGTCTAACCCCCTGCTCAGGCAGGAAACCCTATACCATTTCAGACAAAGGGCTGTCCAGTCTCTTCTTAAAAACTTCCAGTGTTGGAGAAGGAAGGGAGGGAGAAAAGAATAATAGAGTCGGAAAGGACCTTGGAGGTCATCTAGTCCAACCCCCTGCTCAGGCAGGAAACCCTGTACCATTCCAGACAAAGGGCTGCCCAGTCTCTTCTTGAAAACTTCTAGTATTGGAGAAGGGAGGGAGGGAAGTATAACAGAGTTGGAAGGTAACTTGGAGGTCATCTAGTCCAACCCCCTGCTCAGGCAGGAAACCCTATAGCATTTCAGACAAAGGGCTGTCCAGTCTCTTCTTAAAAACTTCCAGTATTGGAGAAGGAAGGAAGAGAGGGAGGGAGGGAGGGAAGGAAGAATAACAGAGTCGGAAGGTACCTTGGAGGTCATCTAGTCCAACCCCCTGCTCAGGCAGGAAACCCTGTACCATTCCAGACAAATGGCTGTCCAGTCTCTTCTTAAAAACTTCTAGGGTTGGAACATTCACAACTTCTGGAGGCAGGTTGTTCTACTGGTTAACTGAAGTCCTGGGTGGGTAGGCCAGCAGGCAGGTAAGTGGCTACTGCTGGGTGGGAGAGGGCTCAGGGGGGTGTACAGGGGGCGGAGAAGGGGCACCCTGAGCACAGTCGGGTTTGGAGCCCTAATACCGGATGAGAGAGGTGCATGGGTGTTCTGACAGTGAGATCAATCAACCAGTGGAACGACTTGCCTCCAGAGGTTGTGGGTGCTCTAAACCAGGGGTCCCCAACGCCCGGTCCGTAGCATGCCAGCATCCGATCCACACAAACAAGCAAAGCCCCACCCTCGGGATGCAGGTAGCACACAAAACCACGCCCCCTCTGGTCCATGGGAAAACCTCTCTCCATGGAACCGGTCCCTGGTGCCCAAAAGGTTGGGGGCCTCTACTTCTAAACACTGGAGGCTTTTAAGAAAGGACTGGACCACCATCTGTCTGAAATGCTGTAGGGTCTCTTGCGCGAGCAGGGAGCTGGACTAGAAGACCTCCGAGGTCCCTTCCAACTCAAGTTTGTTAAATGATAACACTATCTAACCAAATGAAATTCAATGATGAAAAAAGTAAGGTTCTACATTTAGGCAAGAAAAAAACTAAATGCACGGGTATGGGAAAGGGGGTACCTTGCTCAACAGTAGCAAGTATGAGAGGGACCTCAGAGTCCTAGTGGACAATCCCTTAAATAGGAGCCAGCCGTGTGCGGCAGCTGCCAAAAAAGCCAACATTGTGCTGGGCTGCATTAACAGAGGGATAGAATCAAGATCGCGTGAAGTGTTAAGACCACTTTACAAGGCCTTGGTAAGGCCACACTTGGAATACGGCATCCAGTTTTGGTCACCACGATGTAAAAAAGATGCTGAGACTCTAGAAAGAGTACAGATAAGAGCAACAAAGATGATTAGGGGACTGGAGGCTAAAGCAGATAAGGAAAGGCTGCTGGAATTGGGTATGTCTAGTTGAATGAAGAGAAGGACAAGGGGGGACAGGATAGCCAATGTTCCAATATCTCAGGGGCTGCCCCAAAGAAGAGGGAGTCAAGCTATTCTCCAAAGCGCCTGAAGGCAGGACAAGAAGCAACGGATGAAAACTAATCAAGGAGAGAAGCAACCTGGAACTCAGGAGAAACTTCCTGACAGTGAGAACAATTAACCAGTGGAACCACCTGCCTCCAGAAGCGGTGAATGCTCCAAAACTGGAACTTTTTAAGAAGAGACTGGACAGCCATTTGTCTGAAATGGTATAGGGTTTCCTGCCTGAGCAGGGGGTTGGACTAGATGACCTCCAAGGTCCCTTCCAACTTTATTATTACTATTACTATTATTACTATTATTATTATTATATGAGCACAGCAAGGTTTGGGGAGGGTATGCAAGCGGCTGTTGAGCGCAGGGGGACTGGAGAAAGGTGCATGGGGAGAGCTTCTCCAACGTGCCGTCTCCCCACCGACTTTGCTTGCGGGTCAGCAGGGAAGGCTGCCAATCACAAACACACGACCACGTACGTTGCCACCGTCATAAGTGCCAGGCGGCTGCCAAGTGCACAGATTGCGATCATGTGACCGTGGAAGCGCCGAGACGGTCAGAACTATGAGGACCAATTATAACCACTATTGTACTTTAAACCAGAGGTCCCCCCAACCTTTCCGGCACCAGGGACCGGTTACACGAAGAGGTTTTTCCGTGGACCGGAGGGGGCGTGGCTTTGTGTGCTACGTGCATCCCGCTGATGGGGCTTTGTTTGTGCAGCCCGGTACCAGTCCACGGACCGGGGATTGGGGACCCCTGCTTTAAACAGTCGCTGAACAAGTGGTGGCTAACCAAGGACTGTCTACAGCAGGAGTCTTCAAACTTGGCCCTTTTATGACTTGTGGACTTCAACTCCCAGAATTCCTCAGCCATAGTTCCCCCACGCTGGCTGAGGAATTCTGGGAGTTGAAGTCCGCAAGTCATGAAGGGGCCATAGTTCCCCCATGCTGGCTCAGGAATTCTGGGAGTTGAAGTCCACAAGTCATAAAAAGGCCAAGTTTGAAGACCCCTGGTCTACAGCAATGGGTTGAAAACAGAGGACAGATGGGGCTAAACTGCGTTAACAACAGACAATTTCATTCTAATCTTACTCAGGCACATTCATTCTGATAAATACAACCTCCTTACCATATTAAATATTGCTTTCCTGGCGTGATTCATAATTCCAGATTCCTCCAGCTACTTAACCGGAACCTAGAAGTCAGAAAACACAGTTAACTTAGCAACGTTTCATTGGCATGAAAGCAAATTTACAATGGGTATAGCTGCCGGGCCTTCTAGAAATTATTACAATTTGTGTAACAATGCACGTTTATGTGATGGTGGCGAATAGGGTACAAGCTGTACTGTATACAACGTGTACATTAGATTACAATGAATGAAAGTTTGATGCACAACTTGTACACTAGATACATGAAGGCGAAGGCATATAAAGAAAGTTTGCAGGAATTTGGGTGTGTCTAATGAAAAGGACTAAAGTTGACTAAAGTTCCAATATTTGAGGGGCTGCCACAAAAAAGAGGGGGTCCACCTAGTCTCCAAAGCACCTGAAGAAGACAGGACAAGAAGCAACGGATGGAAACTGATCAAGGAGAGACCCAACCTAGAACTAAGGAGGAATTTCCTGACAGTGAGAACAATTCACCAGTGGAACA